TTTTTGTGTAGAATATTTCCTCTTTTAACCTTCTACCTAAAACGAAAGTTTATGTTAATTTCAGGCGTAAAATCGAAATAGTCCAAGGTAAAATTGATCAAAAAAATAAATAAATAAGAAATATATTGTTGAAAAAAAAAATGGGAATTTGTAACTACCAAAAGTTTTTTTTATGTTTCGTGTAACTTCTAAAATGATTGTAATTGCATAGTTTGAAATTCAATGCTATGTTACTTTTTGAAAAAAATTGGATAATAGATCTATATAAGCTCGGTATTTCCTGTTTTTCCTGGTTACATAAACCACTGACAACAAGTTAAAAGTATTAGTCGGTTTTACCGACAGATCCAGTATACAGCCGTGCCTTATGGTGGTTTAACATGCTGACCCTTAATGGGGAGGTTCCGAAGGAGTGGGCCAATAGTATACATTTGGTGTCTGACCTAAGTCTGATATAAATATGCCAGATTTGACTATATCGACTACTTCTTTCAGATTTTATGAAATATATGATATTTTTTGTAAAATGTTGAAATATGCGTGAGGTACCAGATATAAGATATCAAAGTATTCAGTTTCCTCTAGTACTGATAAAACCAGAAAATTGAAAAAAAGAAACAAACATTTATTTCCAATTTAAGGCGAAAAAAAGTCAATTAAAATGTTGAGTTTTTGTGGGGGAGGTACCAGAAGGTGTTGGCCCATAGATTTCATATTCATATCAGATCTCCGGATGAGTGAGATATTTAGATATACCAAGTTTGAAAAGCTTCGCGGATTTTTTTTCGCAACTTCCAAAAAAAAAAAAAAAAATTATTATTTTTTTAAAAAGGGTCACCTTTTGGAGTCGACCAATATGGATGGACATCATCCCGTCTGTACACCAGATCTTGTGTTAATTAAAATATTGACATTTGTGAAATTTGAAAGAATCGGATGGTTATTTCGCATTCTATTAGCATTTCAGTTATTCAAATTTTTAACACCTTTATGGGGGAGGTGCAGGAGGAGTAGGCCGACCATCTACCATCTACCATCTTCATAGGAGATCTTGTGTGGATATAAATATTGGAATGTACGAAGTTTAAAAGAAATCAGATGCTTATTTCTCATTTTTTGAGAGTCGTAATTATTCAAAATGTTGACCCGTTGTATACGAGGTACCTGAGAGAGAGCTCCGATATATTTCAGATTCATACCACATCTTGTGTTGGTAAAAGTATTGAAATCTGTGAAACTTGAAGACAAGCGGATTCTAACATCACATTTTATATGAATTATAATTATTCAAAATTTTGACCCACTGTGAGAAAAGAACTTGATGGAGTGGTCCGATATATCCCTTCTTTACAGCAGATCTTGTGTTTGTAGAAATAATAGGATGCGTGGAATCTGAAGAGAACGGGATACTTATTTCGGGTTTTATAATCGTTTTGTTTATTCAAAACTTTGACACTTTGTGGGAGAGGTACCAGAAGAAATTGTCCGATCTTCTCCATCTTTACAACAGATCTTGTGTAGATAGAAATATTGAGATGTAATAAGTCTGAATGGAATCGGATATTTATATCGCGATTTATAAGCTTCATTTATATTGAAAATGTTGACCTTTGAGGAGGAGGAACCAGAAGGAGTCGGCCGATAAATTCCATCTTCACACCAGACCTTGGTTTAATAAAAATATTGTGATCTGTGTAATTTGAAGACAATCGGACTTTTACATCCCATTTTATAAGAGTTAAAATTATTTAAAATTGAGACCTTTAGTGGGGGAGGTACATGGAGCGATGTTGTCTATTTTCGCACCTTCCCCAGCACTGATGTAAATATTAGTTGAAGCAAAATCGGATTATCCTTTCTCTTTCTGTGCAGTAAAATTTGTTAAATTTTTGACATTTTGTGGGGAAGGTACCGAACTCTATCTAAGTTTTATAAAAATATTAGTATATTTCAATCGGAAACTCCCTTCGAGAGTTCTTGTTTGCACCAGCCATCCAGACAGAAAGACAGACGGACAACCCAAGATCACCTCCAAATGTCTTGAATAAGATTAAGTCTAAAGATACCTGGGGTTTGAAACCCCAGGCCATATGGCCTAGGGTATAAAAATAGACGAATATTAGTCCATGTTTTGGTAAAGCCCATATAAAACGATAACCCTCATATACAGTTATTCCGAAGGGTTTATCACCCTTGAGTCCGCGTGCTCTTATACACCTTAGCTTTTGACCTTATTTAACCTATACTACTTTTGGGTAGTACCATACCCATTTTTACACTGAATCTAATATTAACATCAATATTTCAATGTTCTGGAACTGGGTAACATTTTCGCATTTTATGAAAGTTAAAAATATTAAAAATATTCGAACACAGTTTACAAAAATATTTCAGTCAGTCAAGTTTGGACCAAATCGAATATCAAATTCGACAGTAATCGAGCCAAAAACCAGCAAAAAACACGGAAATGGCAAAATCATCCTGAAATGGATTTTTCTTAGCAAATTATGGTAGCAGCAAATGATGTAAGGCAGATGCTAAAATAAGACTCAAACATGGCAACCCCGTTTGCATTGCACTCCATTAAATAATGAAAATGCAATTCATTTTATTTCTGCCTACAGCTGTTTGGCTAACCGTTCTCTTACTCTCCGAGTTTGAATGGGAAATGGCATTGGATGAAGATGCCATTATTCAGGTTGTTGTTGGTGTTATTGCTCTTCTCCTCCGTTTTTGCATTTGCTGCCTGACGCTGCCTCAGTCACTGCCGACACTCATTAATGGCAAAATAAAAAAAATTGAAACGCGCGCATTTGTGTATTTCAGAGAGAGGGTGATTAAAAGAGAGAGCTCCTCTAAAGAAATTCTACAAGCCAGCGGCATTTGCACAAAATATTGTTTTTTCTGTGAATGGTTTACGATTGGGATACTGTTTTCTGTTCTTCTTCTTCTTCTTCCACCTAGTGTAGACTACTTAGTGCTCTTTGGAGATTATCAAATTGGAATTTCATAAATGGTAGCTACATTGCAAGCTAGAAAGATAAAAAGAGTTTATGAGAACACCAACAGCAACAACAAAGCCAGTAAGAGCATAAGTATTGCAGGGAGAATAGTGGATTCTACTATGAATTAAACTACCGAGATGTACTGGGGTTTTAGAGTTGAATGAGAACAATGAAAAGCAACAACATCGATTACGATAAGAGCGCCTATTACTTCTGCTAAGATGAAGTACAGTGGATGGCAAAATTATGTTGCAACTTGAGCAAATGAATGGAAAAATATAGAATGGGAAGATTCAAGAACCTATTATTTTTATTGTCGGTGTTGATGTGGCCTGGCAAATATAAATGGGTTGCCTGAGTTTTCTTCAGGGACTCCAACGTCGGCTCGAATGCAGGGGTTTGCTGTAATCATTTTAAAGAGCATGTTTAGGAAGCTCATCATGCGTGACATTTGTTGACACAACTGGAGTAATTTAATGGAATATATGGAAGTAGGAGGTTGTAATTTATTTAAAAAAGCTGGACGCAGTGTAGTATAGAATTGAAACCACCTCACTTTTTATTCTTAAATGTGTGTATAATTTCTGGAAAGATAAAAAACAAAAAAAAAAAACATATACTCGCCGTGATCAATGTTCGTTACAGGAACGTTAGGAGACCGTAGATCGCAAGACCTAGGACGATTATCGGTGTTGATGTTGTTATGACGATATCAATGATTTGCGGACTTCCGTTAAGACCTCATGGGAGCTACTAGAAAGTGTGGAACTAGCATTTGTAAGCTTTTACTGTTTTATCAGTCGGTTTTGCCGACAGATGTATACCCTCAGCTTTTCAATCTCAGTATTCAATCTGTTGGCCTTTTTTTTTTTTTGGGGGGGGGGGTGTGGGTGGATTCTGAAGCAGTTAGCCAATATTAACCAATTCGTATTTGACCTAATATTGATATAAATATTAAAACGTGCTAGATTTTGCCACGTCCTATACTTTCTATGAGTGCAAATTTTTGGAAATATGCGTAAGGTACCAGATATAGCGGATAGAGATATTCCTTTGTGGTACCAGAAGAGTGTTCCATTTTCACAGCAGATCATGTGAAGAGAACAGGATTCTTATTTCGGATTTTATGATCGTTTTGGTTATTCAAAATGTTGACTCTTTGTAGGGAAGGTACCAGAAGAAATGGTCCGACCTATACCATCTTTATAACATATATTGTTTTGATGGAAATATTGAGATGTGCCAAGTTGTTATAGTATCAACTACTAATTCCCCTCAACGATAGTGTCTCCCGTTATTCCCTTAATGAGAATCGTTCCACATTTTATTATTCCAAAGAATTGTTTACCAAAATATTAATATGCAAATCCAGCATTTTTATAAAATAAATTTCCAAAGAATAAATATTCATTAATACTTTATTTGTAAGAATTGTTTATTAAAATATTGATATGCAATTCAACACTTTATTCCAGACAAATTTCCAAAGAATTGTTTACTTAAATATTAATATTAGCCTAAAACTGTATTTTCTTTTCTGCTGCATTTCCGACAACGAAAATGCAGCAATAAACAGAATTTTAGTATATAAGCCAGTGAAAAATAAAGAAAGCAAGTTATAATTTCAAACCACACCAAACGTCTTTTTTTTAGTCAAAGTTTTTTCCGCAAATAAAAGTGGCGCAGTCGGTAGGATACCGCAAAGTCCTATCCAACGTATAAAAATAATAAAACAGATTTTATTGTGCGTGATAGAACTAGGATTTTAATCCTTAGTGCGGTATTCGAAATATCCTTTATAAGATTAAAGGATACACAAATTTTATGAAGGAAAAAAAATAAAAAGGATATTAAGAAATATCCCTGTGACTAAAAAAATATTAGTGGAACCAGAAAGGATATAAAGATCTATCCTTTTGGTGAACATCCTTGTGTCAGAAGGAAACCTAGTGAAAAAAAAAAAAAAAAAAAAAAGGATATTAAGAAATATCCCTGTGACAAAAAAAAATATTAGTGGAACCAGAAAGGATATAAAGATCTATCCTTTTGGTGAACATCCTTGTGTCAGAAGGAAACCTAGTGAAAAAAAAAAGGATATTAAGAAATATCCCTGTGACTAAAAAAATATTAGTGGAACCAGAAAGGATATAAAGATCTATCCTTTTGGTGAACATCCTTGTGTCAGAAGGAAACCTAGTGAAAAAAAAAAAAAGGATATTCCTTCAGTGGATTATAAACTTCAAAAAAACAACAACCATAATATAAAGACTGATTAAAACTATATTAAACAAAAAACAAGAAAAAATAACCAATACAACAACAAAACAAAATAAAATTTAAAATACGGGTCTAATACAAGCAAACAACAACAAGGAGAAGTAATAAAACAACAGCAACTATTGGAGCAATATTGTAAAGAAATAACATTACCAACAAACCAATAAGGAACAGTTCATGCCGAGAACTGCACCGTGGAAGACCCTACTACTAAGAAGAAAGTAAACCTGCAATCCTTAGCACCAACAACCAAATTACAAAGTAAGACTATCTCTAGAAATCTATAATTAAGAATAACTTGTATATTTTATAAGAAAATATTTAACATACCTTTGTGAAAAATCGTGTAGGAAAATAATTCCCTACAAGCAATTGTTGAAAATTTTTTTTTTTTTTTTCCTCTCCTCCCTCTTTCCCATTTCAATGAGCGATAGTGACTCATTATCAGAGTACCCATCAGACTTTGAATACATACCAAGAAACTCTAATAACGGGTCGACAGCATTAGAACTTGACTCAGGGATTGAATCGAATGATGGATACCTGACTGACGAAAGAACAGAACATTACATTCGTGACATAAGAAGTAACAGAAACAGACGCATTTTTAGAAAGAAACTCAGACAATATTTTAGACGTAGATAAACAAAAAAAAAAAAAAAAAGAAAAAAACTAAACAGGACTATAACCCAAAATATAAAGGAAAATAAATAACTAAAATGGCAGAACAGGCCGAAAATCAGATTAATAGACTAACCATAGACCCGCTAAAATACTTAAACAACTTACCGGAGTTCTATGGGGATTCAAAAAACTTACAGACTTTTACTACCCTCGTTGACCGAATTTACCCACACTTACGCACATACGACGAATTGTCCCAATTACTTTTCTCCGACATTATAAAGTCCAAACTCAAAGGAAAAGCTAGGCAGGCAATTGAGATAAACTGCCACGCGATTTCATGGACTGACATAAAAAACATGTTGCAAAACAATTTTGGGGACAGACGTTCTAGTGAAGAACTTTTCGACGAACTAAGGAGTGTGACTTTCAGGACGAACACACTAGACTTCTATAATGACGTAAAGGACAAATTGCACAGACTAAACAACAAACTGGTAGTTATACTAGGAGAAGGTGAAGCAACTAGGCAAAGTGCGATTAATAATAAACGCACCGCTTTAAACATTTTTAAAAGCAAAATTCCAGAGCCTATGAAATCCATCCTGCTCTGTAGGAACCCAGGAGACTTGGAACAGGCCATGGACATATTATTTCAAGCCGGCTACGCATACACCGGAAACAATGAAAATAGAGCACAGACCAATGCACAATCTAGTAAACGAAGAAATTACCAACAACCATTCGTAAACCAAGGAAGAAATTACCAACAACCATTCCCAAACCAAGGAAGAAATTACCAACAACCATTCGCAAATCAAGGAAGAAATCACCAACCACAATTCATAAACCAAGGAAGAAATTACCAACAACCATTCCCAAACCACGAAGGAAATTTCCAAAACCCTTTCCATGCAAACAGACAAAACACTAGAAATCAGCCTGAACCCATGGAAATAGGCACAGCCGAAAATTTTCGGGACAGAGCCTCGACAGGCAATTACCATATATAATGGTAAAAACCAAGTTAGGTCATTTGAGACTGATAGTGGATACTGGAGCCACTAATTCAATTATTAATCCAGGAATTTGTCATCCGAAATGGATACACCAAATAAAACCTCTTGTTATTAAAACTCTCCAACACCAAGTTACCATAACAGAAAAGGCAGTAATTCCAGCATTTCAAGAATTTAATATAACTAATAATGCGTTAGAGTTTTATGTTTTAAAATTTCACAATCACTATGATGGATTACTAGGCAACGATATACTTAAAACATACAATACTTGCATAAATTATAAAAACAATTCCATACAAATAAACGGACAAGACATGCCAATACTTTTTGACAATAAAAATAGCGAAAATAGAGAAGAAACAAATGACAAACCAATATTTTTTGAAGAACAATATAACAAAAATTTAAGTAAAATCATGCCCACGCAGAAGGTAGGCGATGATACCAAGGATATGAAGCAATATCATAGCTTGGAACAACAAATTAGGACACAACACCTTAATTCTGAAGAGAAAAGATGTCTCTTACAGCTAATAAAAAAATACTCTTCAATCTTCTTCCAAGAAAATACTCGATTGAGTTTTACCAACGTTATAAAGCATAAAATTCGGACAACAAACAATGTTCCAATAATTAGTAAATCCTATAGATATCCTTACATACATAAAAGAGAAGTCGAAGGACAGATACAAGAAATGTTGCAAAATAATATAATAAGGCATAGCAATTCGCCTTATTCTGCCCCTATTTGGATTGTGCCAAAAAAAGCCGATGCAAGTGGGAAGAACAAATGGAGACTTGTCATTGATTACCGTAAATTAAATGAAGTTACAATCGATGATAAGTACCCCATACCTAACATTGACGAAATACTCGACAAACTGGGAAGATGCCAGTATTTTACAACACTTGACCTCGCAAAAGGATTTCATCAGATTGAAATCGAAGAGGAGGACATCCATAAAACTGCCTTCAGTGTAGAAGGAGGCCATTACGAGTTTTTACGAATGCCGTTTGGGCTAAAGACAGCCCCAGCGACATTCCACAGGTTGATGAACTACGTCCTTAGAGACTATATCAACAAAATCTGTCTGGTTTATCTAGACGATGTGATAATATTTTCCACCTCACTGCAGGAACACATAAATTCATTAAAACTTGTTTTTAACCGTTTGCAAGAAGCCAACCTCAAGGTCCAATTGGACAAATCGGAATTTTTAAAAAAGGAAACTGAATTCCTTGGCCATGTCGTGACATTAGAAGGTATAAAACCTAACCCAAAAAAAATCGAGTGCATAGTTAACTTCCCCATCCCCAAATCACCCAAACAAATTAAACAATTCCTAGGTTTGACTGGTTATTATCGAAAATTCATAAAAGATTATTCGCTAATAGCTAAACCCATGACAAAGTGTCTTAAAAAGGATGCCAAAATAAACATATCCAATCCAGAATATCAGGAAAGCTTTAATACGCTAAGAAACTTACTAGTACACGACCCAATCCTCGCTTACGCCGACTTTACTAAGAAATTCACCCTAACAACAGACGCTAGTAACTTTGCCCTTGGAGCGATACTATCTCAAGAAAACCACCCGATTTGCTACGCTAGTCGTACCCTAAATGATCACGAGATCAATTACAGTACGATAGAAAAAGAACTTCTAGCAATTATTTGGGCCACAAAATACTTTCGCCCATACCTTTTCGGACGCAAGTTCATAATCGAGACAGATCACAAACCGCTAACATGGCTCTTTTCGATTAAAGAACCCAACTCAAAACTAGTCAGATGGAGGCTCAAGTTGTCAGAATTCGATTATGAGATTAAATACAAAAGGGGAACAAAAAACAGTAATGCAGATGCATTATCAAGGATCGAAAATAAAATTGTTGAGATCAATTCATTAGAAAACATCCAACCCATTCTTAAAGAAAGCGATTCACCTATAAATTTATTTAAAAACCAACTCATCGTAAAAAAAATTCATTCCGGATCAGCAAGGATAAAAACCGAAAACATCTTTCAGAATATTAGAAAAACTGTAACAATAAAAGAACTAGATAAAGAGTATGCAATTATGATTTTAAAAACCCACTGTCACCCAACACAAATAAATGCAGTTCTGATAGACAATGAATTTTACGACACTTTCAGAGACACTTGTAGGGAATTCTTTTCAAATAATAACGGATTCAAATTAATCAGGACTTTTAAGAAACTAGACGATATAGAAGACGAACTCCAACTAACAAACATAATTGAGGAAGAACATCTAAGCAAAAATCACAGAGGAATTCAGGTAGTGTTCGAGGAACTAAAAACAAAAATTTATAACCCCAAACTTAAATTAAGGATAACCCAGTTCATTAACAATTGCGAAATATGCACATTGGAAAAGTATGACAGAAGACCACCTAGACTACCTTACAAACTAACGGAAACACCCATAAAACCCAGAGAAATATTACACTTAGACGTTTTCTATACACTAGAGAAACAACTTTACTTAACTATAATTGACAAATTTTCAAAACACGCCACAGCATACAAAATTAATGGAAGATCATGGATAGAGTTTAAATCAAAATTAATGCAATATACCAGCACATTTGGAAGAATAGAAAAAATTGTTGTCGACAATGAGTTAGGATTTAAAGCCATTCCGATTCAAGAATATTTAAGGAAAGAGAACATTAATATACACTACACATCAAACAGTAACCATACATCCAACGCAGATATCGAACGACTTCACAATACATTGAACGAACACTTAAGATTACTACGACATGACGAACAATCCAAAGACGAAACGACAGAGGAAAAAATATCACGTATCATTGGATTTTATAATAATACTATTCATAGCACCACACAAATCAAACCTATAGACTTTATAAATGGCAAAGTACATGAGGATAAATATCCCGAAATACATGATCTAATATTAAAGAAGAAAAATAACTATATTAATAAACTTAACAAAAATAGAACCGATATAGTGATAGAGGAAGGTACAAACTATATAAGAGAAATTCGAGGGGGTAAAAATCATAGGAGGTACAGAAAGATAGAATCTAAGAAAGTCGATGAAGATCATATTGAAAACACAAAAACAGGGCATAAATATTACAAAGCACATATAAGACCTCAAAAGAAATATCAAGACAAGAATAACCCAAAAATTAAAGCAAAATCTAGATAATTACCATCCCCTTTCAGATGATTAACTGGATCATAATAATGGTTGCATTTACTACAGCAACCAAGGCCCAAACCCTCGACATACAAGACTTATCGAACAATAATGGTTACATACCGATAAAAACAGGAGAGACCAATACCGTAGAACACTACATAAAAGTACTGCACATAATAAACACTACAGAATTCGAACGAACTATGGAGATAATTAAAACCAACATTGACACCCTAAAGACATCCAGTAGCGAATCAAAAACATTAATCAGTACAATAAACAAGAACTTTATGCTACTAAAAGCGAAAATAGAAAATCTTAACCCACATTTTAGAAAGAAACGGGCACTCTTAAACATTATAGGAAAAGGCTTAAAAATGATTGCAGGTACAATGGACAGCGATGATGAAGAACAAATAACTGAAGCTCTCAAATCTCTACATTCGAACGAAGAAAACTTAACTAACAAAATGAACAAACTAACTTATATAAACAATGTCATGAACTCCCAAATCCAGAACATAACTAACCATATAAACTATCAGCAAAACATTATCGGGGACTACTTAGTCAAATTCAAGAATATTATAGGGAATAAAATTTCAACCATAGAGGACGAGATAACATTTATAGAACACATATACCAGATTAACAACGACATCTCACTCCTACGGCATCACGTAGACGACATAGGACAGATTATTTTCTCCGGGAAACTGGGAATAATTCCCACAGATATTCTCACCCAAACAGAACTCGATTTAATCACAAGCTTTGACAGCTATACCAATATAAAAGTAGCCATAGCACGTAATGAAGGGAACGTTATAATAATTCTCTCTATACCACAATATTCCCAAGATTCACTATCCAAGGTAACATTCGTACCCATTCCTGACAAAAATAATAAATCCATAATGGTTAATCATTCTGATGTTCTTATAGATTTAGAAAGAAATATTTATAGCACGTATATTAAAGATAACCTAAAAAGAAATCTTATAAAAATTAATGATAATTGTTTGAACAATATACTAAACTTTGAAGAAGCTAATTGCAAAACGCAAACATTAAATACACAAGAAATTAGCGAAATAATTCCAGGAGTATTAATCCTTAAACACTTTAACAGTACGATATCACATAATTGTAACAAAGATAAATTAAAAATTTCAGGAAATTACTTAATCAAATTCGAAAATTGTGAAGTAAACACGTTAAACAAAACCTTTACGAATTTTAAAATAAAAATACAAGACAAGTTTATCCTACCTAACCTTATAACAAAAATTAAAGATACCAGTAACACAACACTTGCAGACATAAAACTTGAAAATTTATATCTAAAACAAATAGAATACGAGGAAACACTGAAACAAGTACTATATACAGATAAAAACTCAAAAATAATTGGCTATAGTATAGATATTTTAATCGGTACATCAATATGTATCTTAATTATATTTATATATCTCTTTAAGAATAAACAAACCTATGTTCCAAATGTACAATTAAAAAACCAAACTATTATAAACAATCCGGCAAAGATAATATAATTTCGTCGGAGCCTCAAACTAAGGGTGGGGGTGTTATAGTATCAACTACTAATTCCCCTCAACGATAGTGTCTCCCGTTATTCCCTTAATGAGAATCGTTCCACATTTTATTATTCCAAAGAATTGTTTACCAAAATATTAATATGCAAATCCAGCATTTTTATAAAATAAATTTCCAAAGAATAAATATTCATTAATACTTTATTTGTAAGAATTGTTTATTAAAATATTGATATGCAATTCAACACTTTATTCCAGACAAATTTCCAAAGAATTGTTTACTTAAATATTAATATTAGCCTAAAACTGTATTTTCTTTTCTGCTGCATTTCCGACAACGAAAATGCAGCAATAAACAGAATTTTAGTATATAAGCCAGTGAAAAATAAAGAAAGCAAGTTATAATTTCAAACCACACCAAACGTCTTTTTTTTAGTCAAAGTTTTTTCCGCAAATAAAAGTCCAAGTCTGAATGGAATCGGATGCTAATTTCATGTTTTATGAGCTTCATAGATATTCAAAATGTTGACCCTTTGTGGGGGAGGTACCAGAAGGAGTGATCTGATATATTCCTTCTTCACATCAGACCTTGGGTTAAAATATTGTGATGTGTGTAGTTTGAAGAGAACCGTATGCTTATTTCGGATTTTATCATCGTTTTAGATATTAAAAATTTTGACCCTTTGTAGGGGAGGTACCAAAAGAAATGGTCCGATCTCCACCATCTTTATAACATATATTTTGTTGATGGAAATATTGAGATGTGCCAAGTCTGAATGGAATCGGATGTTAATTTCGTGTTTTATGAGCTTCATGGGTATTCAAAATTTTGACCCTTTGCGGGGGAGCTACTAGAAGGAGTGATCTGATATATTCCATCTTCACACCAGACTTTGTGTCAATAGAAATATTGTGATGTGTGTAATTGGAAGAGAACCGTATTCTTATTTCGGTTTTTATCATCGTTTCAAATTTTTCACCCTTTAGGGGGAGGTACCCGAAGAACTGTTCCTATCTGTACCATCATTATAACAGATCTTGTGTTGGTGGAAATATTGAGATGTACCAAGTCTGAATAGACTAGGATGTTAATATCGTGTTTTCTGAACTTCATGAATATTCAAAATTTTGACCCTTTGCTGGGGAGGTACCAGAAGGAATGAACCGATATATTCCATCTTCACACCAGACCTTGTGTTAATAAAAATATTGTGGTGTGTGTAATTTGAAGAGAACCGTATGCTTATTTCGGATTTTATCATCGTTTTGGATATTCAAAATTTTGATCCTTTGACTGAGGGTATAAAAAACTAAGTTCCGACGGGCCAAACTTTTAAACCCCTCGCAAAATACCGCTTAAATCAAACCGAAATATCGAGCTTATACGAAGCCGTGGGCCTACATATGTAATTTTTTGACGTAGGCTATAGTACCTATTAAGATTTTCCAATACGAAATTTGAAACAATTCGGGTAAATAATGTCGGTAAAATCATTCGAATACCGAATATCGGGAGGTACGGTTATACGGAGGCTATACGATATCGCGGACCGTTGCAGCCCATCTTCGAACTTGACCTGCTTGCAGACAAAAGACTGATATGTGCAAAATTGAAGCTTCCTACCTTTATTTGTTTTGACTCTGGCGTGATTACAACAGACGGACGTATGTCCGCTAACATGACAGGGCTAAATTGTCGTAGAATTTTGCGCTGATCAGGAATATATATACTTTGTTGTGCCTAAAATTATTATTTCAATGAGTTGAAAACGGAATGACTAACTTAATATATCATACATAGATTGGTGGAGGGTATAGCCTACGCTGAGTCCTGAACTCACAACATTCGGTTTTGTAGAAGAACATTCACATTTTGTATCTACGTTACTATTACTTGATAATGAGGAAAATACCTTATTCTGCTTTATATTTTAAAAGAATATTTCATTATTTTCAACCTATTGGTAATGCAAGAGAGAGAGAGAGAGAGAGAGAAAGAGGGAGAGAGAGTGAGTTTCTTTACATTACTTTGTATTGGGCTATTCTCCTAAATTTATTTTTATTCCAATTTAACCAACATTTAACCAGGGGTGCTCAAGAAGAAATATCTGTTTTCAGTCAAATTTCTCTTTGCTTATTTAAATCAAGAACAAAACAGTGTTAAGTCATTATTTATACAAATATTTTTTATCCATTTGCTTTATAAATTATTTTGGCAAACATTCGTGTTTAAAAACAATTAAATAGAACCGTAAAATATAAAGAAAACAGAATTTTAATTTTCTCTTAAATTATGTCTTTTTTCTTTCTTCTTTTCATGTTCTAGAACACGGTTTTGAGCACCCCTGATTTAACACACATGCACTCTCTACCTATCTTTCTCCCCCTTTTTTTGCAACATGCAAAATACTTTTGTTCTCCACTGTAATCTTAGATATTGTTGATGATTTGTTGTTATTGTTGCTGCCACTGACGTTGCAGTGCTGCTGGCGTTGATGTTGTTGATTCTCTTGATATCGGTTAACGGCGTCATCATGGCAGTTTGTAGCTGTTGTTGTTGTTGTTACTGCTGTTTTTCTATTTTTCCCTCCATAGAGCAAACTGTAGCTGGCTGGCTGACTGTATGCTTTACTTGCATGCTTCTTCTTTTTCGCCGTCGTCTTTTGCGTTTAGTTTTAGTATTTAACAAAGCCGAAGCTATTTTCATGTTAGTACTCAACTTACTACCTAATAACTGCTGCTGCTGCCACTGACAGATTTTTCAGTCGTTGGGTTTTTCTCGCTCTGCTTTCCCCCAGCACCCAAGTATACAAACGCACTCATACATTCACATATACACACATTTGGAGTATTGCAAACAGATACACGACAGAGTATCTCTTCTCTTTTGGTCTAGAGATTTTGGGAGGAGAAAAAGGGGGAAAAACACGACAAAGGCTTTACTCTAATCGTAGTAATGCCGTTACACTGCTTTTCATTGTTCCTGGCGCGCTCATTTTTTTGGGGTGCTCCATCAACAACAACAACAAGAAATACACCTGGTGTTGTATGGCATCTAAAATTTGTCCACCCTAGAGTAGTTGTCGTAGGCCATAATAACAACAACGTTTGTAGACAACGTCGCCGTGGACGTTGACGCCGTTTGTTGCCTTTGTCGTCGATGCCGACGCCTTCGCCGCTGCCGACGTCTTCTTCTTCGTCAGTCAATCGTTTGTTGGTTGGTTGGTTCATTCGCTCCTGTTTTGTATTATTTCCTCCATCTTTTGTTGGTGGCAGGCGAAATCTACGGATTTTTTTCGCAAAAGCGATTTTTTTGTTTGCCCAGGCGGCAGTCGTCGTCGACAATTTTCAATTAAAACGTGTTTAACGTGAGTGGTACGCTCGCTTGCCAGCCCGTTCGTTCGGTCGTTCTGTCTGTCTGACTGTCTGTCGGTCGGTCGTTCGCTCATTCCTTCATTGAATGAGTCTGGTGCGTCCGTGTAAGTGAATTCGTGATTTCGTGCAATGGTGCGTGCATCAGTGAGTATGTAACGAAAATTTACGTCTGTCTAGCTGGCTGGCCCGCTTAGATGCGTTATGCGTCGCGTCGTATCGTTAATTTTTGTGATTATTATTGATAATGAAAGATAATGATAATGTATGTATGGCCAGCTGTGTGTGTCTGTATGTGATTTAGTCGTGTGTGTGCGTGTGTGTGTACGTTTGTCTGGAGTGTTTATTATTTATCTATACTACCAACATGTGAAATATTTATACCAATCAGGGGAAATGATTATTAATCTCCTATCAGTAACCAAAAAAAAAAATTGTTAGAATTTCCCCCCAAAAAAACACAAAACGTCGACAAATACCCCTAAACAAACGACCAATAAATTAAGGCAACAATTTTCAAGAATAGATTTCTTCTTCCCAACGTGGAAGGCACCTTTAAGTTTATTGAACTTTGGAGGATGTGTGAAAAATCGACAAATTCTTTCAATACTAAAAAAAAATAAATTATTTGTTGTACCCCCAAAACAAAAAGTGTCCATGTCCATCAAAAATGTTTGTGAAAAATATTGCCAAGAAAATTTTGTTGTGGAAAAATGAATAGCTAGCTGGCTGGGACTGACTGACTGGCTGGCTCTCTGTGCGATTTTTGTTGATTGCAAAAATTAGTCGTTTTACTGGTTTTGACGCGAATGGAATGGAAATAAGCGAAAAAAAAACATATAAACAAAATTAAAAAATAATAAAAATAGATACCTCAACTCAATTGCATTATTGAGAGGTGTTGCGTTGAAAATAAAACGAAAAAAGAAAAAAATTACCCACAAAAGGTAATAAAGAATTCCCACATTGCAAATCTGTGCGAAAAGAAAATTGAATACAAAAAAAATGTGTGAGAAAATGGAATTAACCAAATCAATCGATGGAAAAATAATAGAAAAATTGGTGTCAAAAATAATAGAAAATAAAATAAATAAAATACAAATCAATACGACATTTGCAAATTAAAAGTCAACCAAATTTTGTCGTTTAAATTTTTTAATTTCAATACAATTAAAAAAAATATTCACCCCTAAAACCAATGAGGTTCAAACATAAAATAAACTAAAAAATAAATAAATAAATACATTTTTATCCAATAAGAAAAATAAACAATAAAATAACTACATTATTCCAAAAAAATAATAGCAACATTGTTCCAACCCAAAAATTATAATAATTCGTATTAAAAAAAAAAAAAATAATAATATTACAAGTAAACACAAGTGAGAAAAAATTACAAAAAATATAAAATAAAAAAAGTTACAAAAAATATAAATACTGCGAAAAAAATTAATAAATTTTTATATATTTTTTATCTAAGTAAAAAAAATAATGAAAAAATCTAAAAATAATCAAAAAAAAGTAAATAAATAAAAATTATAAATTATGCTTAAAAAAATGCGTAGAACAAATAATGTTTTTGTGATACATATGTTGTTATAAAACAGTCTAAAAACCCGGAAAATATAAAAATAAAAAAAAATACCAAAAAAAAAAAAAAATATCAAATGTTAAAAAATATATCTTAATGAATATTATGCTTGAGACACATACCTATGCTATAAAACCTGCCTAAAAATAAAAAAATAAATAAATAAAACTCGAAAATCTAAAAATAATAAATAAAATCTAAACACATAATTTTAAAGTTAATAAAAAATATAAAATATTGTTGCATACAATTTCCAAACATGTTTTTCAATGAACCTGCCTACGATAATAAAATATATAAATTAAAAAATCAATACTTAAAAAGAAAAAATATTTCTATGAACTTTTTTAATAAAAAATCCAACGACAACGGACTATTAACATTATGCGAGAGTAAATAAGAAATGTTAATTTTAAAATAAATAAAAATTAAAAATATATTTTGCTATAAAACTTTCTAAAGCAAAAAATATGTATAAATGACAAAAAATAAAAATTTTACAAAAAAAATGTTTCCAATCTTTTATGAATAAAGGCTAAAAAACGACACAAATAAAACTTTCTCAATTGGAAAGTGTAACAATTATTATAAAAAAACTATACATATTATGGAAAGAAAATAAGAAATGTTTTGTTTTAAAACAAAAATTTAACCAGAAAAAGTATCTGTAATAATATTTTATTAAATAAAAACGAGAAAATAAAGATTATGTTTAAAAGAAAAAGAACAATTAAAACAAAATTTAAAATATTCAATCAACAAATAAAGCTACAGAAATCGAAAAAAAAATAAAATGTGTACAAAAGTGGGCAGAAATTTCACATTTTTATATAAAAAATAACTTTTTTTAATCTTATATGAATAAATACTTAAAACGACGATGTTTATAAAAAATAAATAAAACATAATAATATATCGTAATATATATCGGAAACGTTAATTTTAAGATAATAAAAGTAAAAACAATTTTGTTATAACCTGTCTAAAATATAAAAATCAAAAAATATTAAAACAAAAATTTAACCAGAAAAAGTATCTGTAATAATATTTTATTAAATAAAAACGAGAAAATAAAGATTATGTTTAAAAGAAAAAGAACAATTAAAACAAAATTTAAAATATTCAATCAACAAATAAAGCTACAGAAATCGAAAAAAAAAAAATAAAATGTGTACAAAAGTGGGCAGAAATTTCACATTTTTATATAAAAAATGCATAAAACAAAAACATTTATTACGAATATTATTTCTTGAGACACCTGCCTAAAACATATATGTTCCGATATAAATATTACAAAGAAATATAAATATTTATCATATATTGTGCCATTACATTTTAATGGAAGCCGTGCCTAGTTTGTGATGTGTTCAAAAACAAAATGATCAAAATTTTATTTATAATTAAAAAAAAAATAACTAAGACTTAATAACGAATTGAACAAACATATATAAATGCTGAATACATAAAAATATGTTAGTGAGTTAATTGTAAATAGCATTAAATGGGAAATTAATAACAATAAAAAATTAAAAAAATATAAAATATAAAAATTACCGATATAAATATATAAAAATAGATAAAATTTAAAAATATAAAAAATATAATTTACGTGAAATGTTATTAATCATTAAAAAACAAAGTAACAAATAAAATAACATACAATTTAACTATATAAATACTAAATATATTAGTGAGTCAATTCTAAATAAAATTTTATTGCAAATTATTATCATTTAAAAATAAAAAAAAACTTCAAAATGAAAATTATAAAAGTAAAAAAAAAATAATAAATGAAATAATAATAATAGTAATAATAATAATAATAATAATAATAATAATAATAATAATAATAATAATAATAAATTATCAAACTTTATATATAACACACGAAAATATAAAAATCATTATAAAATCAAAAAATAATAATGCAAACAACTATAATAAAAAATATAAATATTAAATACAAAAAATTAAAATTTCAATATAAATGATTTATATGGCTTTGTGGTGTTGTCGTTGTTACAAAAGTTTATCAAAAACTGTGTCTTCATTTTCTAATTATTTTTAATGGAAATCGTGTAAAAAGTAAAACATTAAAATAGATTTTTTTAATACATAAAAATAATTAGTAACTAGGAGTTTATTAATTTTAAAAAATTTAAAATTTCAAACAATTTCAATTTTAATTTCAGAGGACTACACCAAACGTTAAATAAAAGATATTGTGAATTGGATGCCCCTGGAGACTAAACAATATTTGGTTTCCAGAAATGGGATGACCTGTTGTGCAATAATACATAGAAATGAAATAGCTAATAATTAAATGAAATCAAAAACCATAATTAATCTAAATAAATAGATTGTTATTAAAACCAAAAAAAAAAATAAAATAAAATAAACGGGAAGGTTATATATATTAATTATGAAACGTAATAAAATATATATTTTAGTTTTAAAGTCATATTTTAGTGAGATAATAAAATGCACATAAAGAACAGAAAATGTATTAAATATATTTAATCAAAAATCAAAAGTGGTGAATTCGTTTGAGTCCTGTAACTCGTTAAATTAATATACAAAGCATTCTAGAGAAGGCAATAACATGTGTAGGGTTCAAAATTATTTATAATATTTTTTATGAAGTTGGAAAAAAGTGAATTCCAAATGATTCTTGAACCGAACCGTTCTTAAAGAATACGGGTTTTTTGTAGAACGATTCGTTTTCACTAGAAAAAATTTATTTACGAATCAGGTTTTAAAGAAAATCCTCAATTTTTTGGATCTAAATAGTAGGATCTTTAAGGTTCTGAAAAAATGGGAAATTATTCTCAATAATATCAACAACTTCTTAGGGAAAACAATGAAAAAAAAAAAACAATCCATGACAAATAATTTTTGAAAAACTAAAAATGGACTTCCAAGAAGAGAATATCTAGTACTTGAAAGTATTGTTCAAAAATCAAGGATTACCCTTTGTGGGGGTGGTACCATACAGAGAGAATCGATGATATATCCCATCTTTACAGCAGACCTTGTGTCAGTAGAACAAATGGGATGTGTGTGATCGTGATCGGATGCTTATTTCGGAATGGTCCAATCTCAACCATATTTATAACGGATCTTGTGTTGATGGAAATATTGCGGATTTGCAAGGTTGGAGCAAAATCGGATTATCTTTTCTCTTTCTGTGCGGATTAATTTTTTTTTTTTTTTTTGAAAATTTTGACCTTTAGTGGGGAGGTACAGTAGGGAGGGGACCAATATTGTCCATTTTCGAACACGATCTAAGTTTGATAGTAATATTACGATCGTATAGCCCACACATACGGTACCCCCGATATTCGATATTTTGACCTAAATTTTGGGAGAAACCACAGATTTTTGAAGGTCGTCATTGCTTTCATGGGAAATTTTACCTAAAAAAATATAATGAAACAAATCTTATAACATAACTGAAAAAAATAACAGATTTGATTAAAAATAATCCAAAATAGAAAAAATATAACTGAAGATTTAAACGGAAATGTAAAAATAAAAAAAAAAAAATCTTACGTATCAGAACTATTCCAAATTCAAAACAAAATATACATAAATACATGAATAATTAATTAATTATCTAAATAAATAATTAATAATGATAACAGAACAACTTTAAATAAATAAAAAGTTACCAAAACTAAACATATTTTTTTATATCCTCTGCATTAAAAAAACATTTTTTAAAAAAAAATAAATAATAATTAAAATGGAAACGCATCACAAACTATCTACGTGCTTCCAAACACACAATTTTTTTAACAAATCAAATAAAAAAAGAAAATAAAAATTCAAAATTAACAAAAAATGAAATAAAAAAGCCAACACTGTTCAAATAGGAACAAAAACTAATGTTTTGTAAAAATTATAATTTTTTAATTTTAAATAAAATTAAAATTATTTAATTTTAAATAAAAATTAAATATTTATTCAAAAAAAAAAAAAAAAACGCATCACAAACTATCTACGGTATTTATTTTAACCAAATCAAATACCCCAATCAGGTACCACAAAATTCCTCCAAGTGTATGCAAGCAAGAGCAAATCATATCATATCCATTGCTTTGGTTGCTTCTTCTTATTATTATTGTTCTTTTGTTTCTCAGTTACATGCTCTACGTTTTGCCAGCGAAATTCTTTAAAATCGAACAACAAACATCCCGACAGAAGGGCATGAGCTACGGTGACAAACATGTGTGACAAGTGAGTGAGTCGTGAGTGTTTTCTTCAACCAAAAAAAGGAATGAAATAAAAATTAAATAAAAAACAACAAATTCTAAAAAAACGACTAAAATGTGAAAACTTTGTTGTAAATAAAATAAAAAATTAAAAAAAATATTTAAAATATATACACAACAATTCTCAAACCTTAACGAGAGCTGCGGGTCGGTGTCTACAAAAGGTTTGATGCACAAGAAAGAAAGTCAATAGAAAAAAACAAAAGAAAAAAAAAATAACAAACAAATAAAACGACTAAAGGGACAGAGAGCAAACAAACGCAAGAACCCCAAACAACAACAACAACAACAAAAAGCAACACACAGCGAGTGGTGGAAAGCATAAAAAACGGAACGGAAACAATGCGGCTTTTAACCACTTACGGAATTATGTAAAGAATTTGACGACAAAAGAAACATCGCAAAAGTGAAACGAAATTTCAAAAGAAGAGGAAAATTTGTAAAAAAATAAATAAATTTCTGTGTAAAAATCAATTATTGTAAAGTGTAAAATAAAAAATGTTAATCTAAATAATCAAAATCCCAACAACAACAACAAAAATCATCATCAAAAGCAAGTGTCAAAATCCAAAACCTAACCTTAAATGTGTCAATCTCCAAACCACACCCTGTGTAGCGACGAATTTCAAACAACAACAAAAAATACAAAAGTGTTAAAAAATAATTGTCATAAAATAAGAAATACAACAACAACAACAAAAATAATTGCCATTTGCTCAATTGTCCTTTGCCCACCTCCTTCTGAGCTTCTGAGGACGAGTTAAAGGCCACCGATTTAAGGTGGCGTCCTCAAAAATAAAATCTTCGGAGGCAAAGGCTTTGCGGGGAACACCTACCACAACAAATGCCGCATTTGACAAAAGCCAACAACAACAACAAAAGTCATCCTCCTCCTCAACGCCACCATCAGCACCATTACACGAGGAGAACAAACAACAGCAACAACAACACAAAGGACAACAAAAGCCAGGCAGAAGCAACAACAACAGCGACAGCAAAACCAAAATAACAACTAAATCAACAATTATTACAAACGCCGGCAACCCCGCCACCACCACCACCATCACAACAGCAACAACCACCCCAACAACAACAACAACAGCTACAACAAATGCCACCAGTGCTAATATCAAAAAAGCCGCCACTGGAACCCAAACAACAGCCACAACAATAACCGCCACAAATCGCGTTGCTGAGAGGAGCAACAAACCTCGTACCTCCCTGACATCTTCCTCCTCGAACTCATCCTCTTCCACGCAGAACAACAACTCCAGCACACACTCCCACAAAACTCAGCTGAGGCAGTTTACGAATTTACAACAACAACAACAAAATAGCACACTATCCCAACAGCAGGTCCTGCTGAAACAAAAACTCCAACGCCAACTGCCGGTTGGACCCCTCATAACACCACCGCAAAAATTCAATTCCAAACAACTGTTGAAAGCCACCTCAAAGGTGAAAAAGAAAGCCAAACAGCTGACCTTCGATCACACCAAGTGTCTGATCAATGTAACCAGCACCAACAGCCCGCCGCCACCGCTGGGGCCATCACAACCACCACCACCAACTCTGATAGGTCGCCAAGGCAAAGAGGCAAATACATTTCGCAAATTCTCCCTGCCCACCCATTTAAGTAGCCAGCCTCTGCAGGCCAATAATCCTCTGTCCACCATTAATTCACCACCCCTGCTAAAATCGGACCCCTCCATTGCCTTCAATCAGCATAGTTTCTCCCTGAAACAACAACAGAAACCCAAATCTAAATCAAAAACCACTCAACGTTTTACGAAGTTTCTACGCGCCGCATCATCGGCCTCCTCGAACTCGCCCAAGACCAAGGGACGGCGAAAATCTTCAGCTGCCTCGATTGTTGAGACAGCTTTAGCGGCAGCTGGGGTAACGGTAAATCTTACCACCGCCTCGGCATCATCGGCCTCGGCCACAGAACTTTTGGGTCAGGATTATACCAAGACCCCCACACCGGCCTCAAACTGTGGTGATCACAACTGCAGCGGCGGCGGTGGTGGAGGCGGAGGAAGTGGCGGTCGTGGCTGTAGCAATTGTGGTTTTCAAGGCAGCAGCAGTGGCGGCGGCCTAGATCAGGACAACGAAGACGGTGAGAACGCAACATCGTCGTGGTGTGGTGGTGGTGTAAATTTTCTGGTGTATATGGTTTGTTCATTTTGCTGTTGTTGTTATAATTTTCGAAATTCACCAACAAGGTAAATATGATCGGAAATTGTGGGAATTGTCTAAAAAAAAAATGGTCATAGTAGATTCTCAAAATTCGGGTCTTCTATGAGGGGACCCCTCTTTGTATTTTGGAAGTAGTTTAATTTGTTTTTGAGAATGAGAAGACCTATAGCTCTTCTATGAGAAGACCTATAGCTCTTCTATGAGAAGACCTACTATAGCTCTTCTATGAGAAGACCTACTATAGCTCTTCTATGAGAAGACCTACTATAGCTCTTCTATGAGAAGACCTACTATAGCTCTTCTATGAGAAGACCTACTATAGCTCTTCTATGAGAAGACCTACTATAGCTCTTCTATGAGAAGACCTACTATAGCTCTTCTATGAGAAGACCTACTATAGCTCTTCTATGAGAAGACCTACTATAGCTCTTCTATGAGAAGACCTACTATAGCTCTTCTATGAGAAGACCTACTATAGCTCTTCTATGAGAAGACCTACTATAGCTCTTCTATGAGAAGACCTACTATAGCTCTTCTATGAGAAGACCTACTATAGCTCTTCTATGAGAAGACCTACTATAGCTCTTCTATGAGAAGACCTACTATAGCTCTTCTATGAGAAGACCTACTATAGCTCTTCTATGAGAAGACCTACTATAGCTCTTCTATGATAAGACCTACTATAGCTCTTCTATGAGAAGACCTACTATAGCTCTTCTATGAGAAGACCTACTATAGCTCTTCTATGATAAGACCTATAGCTGCTCTTCTATGAGAAGACCTATAGCTGCTCTTCTATGAGAAGACCTATAGCTGCTCTTCTATGAGAAGACCTATAGCTGCTCTTCTATGAGAAGACCTATAGCTGCTCTTCTATGAGAAGACCTATAGCTGCTCTTCTATGAGAAGACCTATAGCTGCTCTTCTATGAGAAGACCTTTAGCTGCTCTTCTATGAGAAGACCTATAGCTGCTCTTCTATGAGAAGACCTATAGCTGCTCTTCTATGAGAAGACCTATAGCTGCTCTTCTATGAGAAGACCTATAGCTGCTCTTCTATGAGAAGACCTATAGCTGCTCTTCTAGGAGAAGACCTATAGCTGCTCTTCTATGAGAAGACCTATAGCTGCTCTTCTATGAGAAGACCTATAGCTGCTCTTCTATGAGAAGACCTATAGCTCTGCTATGAGAAAGACTATAGTTCATCTCCGAGAAGAAATATAGCTCTTCTATGAGAAGACCTATAGCTGCTTCTATGAGAAGACCTATAGCTGCTTCTATGAGAAGACCTATAGCTGCTTCTATGAGAAGACCTATAGCTGCTTCTATGAGAAGACCTATAGCTGCTTCTATGAGAAGACCCATTGCACTTCTATAATTTTTAAATTCTTTTTTTTAAATTTTATTGAAGAAAAGCAAAAAAATGTCGGAAATAGCATCAATTTTTAGAATAAGTTTAGATTTTTTCGAATTGATCACCTTAGGCACGAGTTATGGCCTTCAAACGGCCAATGAAACCGTCACACGCTGCCTGAATGTTGCTCTGCGGTATTTTGGTCCATTCCCGGCGAAGCGGCGCTTGCCTGAGGTGATCGATACTTTGGTATTTTTAAGTGCCAACCTTGCTTTCCAACTTTCCAAAATTCTCCAGACACAATAGTCCAGCCGATTGGTATCCGGAGATTTTAGTGGCCATTGTGCGCTGGTATATATGAGGCGAGGAACATCATTGTAACCCTACTTGGGTGGCGAAAGTTCGAAATGGATGCTACAGCCTAAGACAGAAAACTGTCTGTGTAGGTCAACGTCTTCGTATAGCCCCCATAAAACGGTACCCCCCGATATTCGGTATTTTGATGATTTTAGCGACATTATTCAACGAAATTCTTTCAATTTTGGCATTTGATGTTCGAAATGGATGCAACAGCCTATGACAGAAAATTGTCTGTGCAGGTCCACTTCTTCGTATAGCCCCCATATAACGGTACCTCTCGATATTCGGTATTTTGATGATTTTAGCGACATTATTTACCGGAACTATTTTAAATTTAGTATTTGAAGTTCGTAATGGATACTACAACCTAAGACAGAAAATTGTCTGTGCAGGCTTATGACAAAAGTTGCGTATGCAGGTCCATGTCGTCGTATAGACCCTAATATACGGCTACATTTAGTATTTTTAAGATTTTTAACAGAATTTTCAAAGGATTTTAATTTTTTTCGAAAATTGCCAAATTTGTACCAAATGATGGAGATTATTCATAGTTCGGCCCGGCCGAACTTACAGCTTTTTTACTTGTTTTTAATTCATAATCATATTTATTTAAGATTTTTATTTTATTTTTATATCATTACTCTTTTCTAAAAGATTATTTTCTCTCTTTTTTCATTTTAGGTAAGTTCTCCAAAATAATTAGGTCCTTCCAAGGGAATAATTATACAATTGGTAAGACAAAAAATTAAAATCAGAACTTTTCGAATTTCAAATGCCATTTTTTTGAAATCGATTGAAAACATCTGGAACTATTTTCCCGAATTATAAAAAATAAAGATATTTATTTAAGTTTCAATCCACGATGTAAGTTTTATCCAAAAATCAAATGATTACAATAACTTTGCAATATCACGTTTTCAACATTGTCTAAAATATTTCCTTTCCGTTCTTATATCCAAAATACGTATTGAATATAAATAAATAAATTTAATAAAATAATATTTGTACAATGTCAACATTTTCTTTTCATTTGTTTACGAAATAAACATAAAAAAACAATAGGATTTGTCTTTGTCTTATTGTTAATTAAATATTTAAGACCTGATGATGATGGATCGATTGAAATAATTAAATAAATATTTCTTTTTTGTTTATTTGTTTACCATGGGGAAATGGGGATGTACGTAAGCGCAATGTTCAAAGATCAATCACCCTGTGGCAGCAGAACTTGGTAACAAGTGGTGAATTAATGTAAATATCGGGAGTCTGTTTGGATTTTTTTTTTTGTAAAATATATTAAAATAAGTTCATGAAAAATGGATTTACATATAATAAATTTTCTTATTTGAGAGGTTAAATTAAATGCAAAACTATAAGTGTGAGTTGGCTTGACCTATTTCCCATCTGCTCTTGAAGAGTGCAATATCGACAGCCGACTAACTTGACTTTATTGTTTACAAATCCCCTGGAGATGCAATTTACACGATTGCGAAATATCGGAGGGCAGTAGATATTTCTCAGGGCGAAAATCTCGTATTTTTACTATCTACACCTGGGTCTACCCTAGGTCTCTTTGGACCAAATACGTTTCAGGATATTTGGAGTCGATCTAGCGATGTCCGCCCGCCTCTCTGTCTGGCTGGTGCGCACGATAACTCACGAAGGGAGTATCCGATTTGGTCCAAACTTGGTACATCATAATATTATTGTCAAACTTATATCGAGTTCGGAAATGGGCAATATCGATACACTTCTTCTGGTAAATCCCATACGAAAGGTCGAAATATATTTTACTGCACAGAAAGGATAATCCGATTTTGCTCCAACTTTACGAATTCTAATATTTGCCTCGTGCTAGGTCAGGTGTGAAAATGGACAATATCGGTCCACTCAAATGCCTACCCCACAGAGCGTCAAAATGTCGAATTATTGTAGATTTTATATAATGTGATGTAATAATCCGATTGTATTTAAGTTACACACATCATAATATTTTTATTATCCCAAGATATGCTGTGAAAATGGAATATATCGGTCCACTCCTTCTGGTACCTCCCCCACAAAAGGTCGAAATTAAAAAATAAAATTCTGCACAGAAAGAGAAACGATAATCCGATTTTTCTCTAACTTTGCAAAAACTAAAATTAGCATCACTTCTAGGTCAGGTGGGAAAATGGACAATATCGGTTCACTCCATCAAGTATCTACCCCACAAAGGGCCAAAATGTTGAACAATTGTCGCTCTTATAAAATGTGATGTAAGAGTCCGATTGTCTTCAAATTATACACATCCCAATACTTCTTTTTTTTTTAACCGAAGGTCGGGTGTGAAGATGGAATGTATCGGTCTACTCCTTTTGGTATCTCCCCCACAAGGGGTAAACATTTGGAATATGAAGCTCATAAAACGCGAAACTAAAATTCGATTCCATTCAGACTTGGTACATCGCAATATTCCCATCAACACAAGATCTGTTATAAAGTTGGTAGAGATCGGACCATTCCTTGTGGTACCTCTCCCACAAAGGGCCATAGTGTGGAATAACCAAAACGATCATAAAATCCGAAATAAGCATCCGATTCTCTTCATATTTCACGCATCCCATTATTTCTGCTATCACAAAAGATCTACTGTGAAGACGGGACATATTGGTCCACTACTTGTGGTACCTCTCCCACAAAGGGTCCAAATTTTGAATATCAATGAACATCATAAATCGCGAAATTAAAATCCGATTCCATTCAGACTTGGTGCATCTGAATATTTCCATCAACACAAGATCTGTTATAAAGTTGGTAGAGATCGGACCATTCCTTCTGGTACCTCTCCCACAAAGGGTCAAAGTTTTGAATAACCAATAAGATCATTAAATCCGAAATAAGCATCCGATTATTTTGAAACGTGGTAAATCTCAATATTTCTATCAACGCAAGATCTGCTGTGAAGATGGGATATATCGGTTCACTCGTTCTGGTACCTCCCCACAAAGGGTCAACGTTTTTAATAATCATGAAGCTCATAAAACGCGAAATTATCATCCGCTTCCATTGAGACTTGATACATCTCAATATTTCCATAAGCACAAGATCTGTTGTAAAGAGTGTACAGATCGTACCATTCTTTCTGGTACCACCCCCACAAAGGATTAAAATTTTGAATATCCATGAAGCTCTTAAAACGCGAAATTACCACCCGATTCCATTCAGCCTTGGTACATCTCAATATTTCTATCAACACAAGATCTGTTAATAAGATGGTAGTGATCCGGACATTCCTTCTGGTACCTTCCCCATAAAGAGTCTAAGTTGTGAA